ATTTTACAATTTATTTTTTATTTATATCAGCTTAGATTAACAGCTTAAAGGCAATTTAAAAGCTTAATTAGGTTAGTTTAGTCAAGTCATCTAGCCAATAAAGAAGAAAATATTAAGGGGGCCAATAATATTGACCTTAAATTTATGATTCTTTTAGTTATTTTTTAAAAACTAATTTTAATCCAACCAACCAAACAAACAAACAAACAAGAATAAATAAATAAATAAAAAGTAATACTGTACAATTTTAATGAAAAATAAAATGAAATATTTTTTTTATTTTATGTATTAATAAAAATACAATATTAACTCAATACGTTTAGTTTTACTATACTATACTATACTATACTATACTATACTATACTATACTATACTATACCAAGAAGCATAGAATCAACAAGAGCAACACTCTAGTGCGATTTGGGAAACAGCCACTAGTTGGCGCGGCGGCCATTTTGTAATAAAAATTCCAATAGAACAACAGCATATTATAAGTCTGTAAAATAAAGTATTAAAAGCGCTGATGATTGTGATAGTAAGTGTTGTATTGTCGTCTTTCATGTTGTATCTCATCTTTAATATGCTTTTTAAATAAATAAAAAAAAAAACAAAGCAGCTGCTTGCCATCGCGACAGCAATAATATCCAATGGACTGCCTCTTGGTGATTCTAAGCTCTTTTACTATACTATACTATACTATATACTATATACTATACGCTGATACATTTATTTTCAGAATATATAAATAAGTTTAAACAAACACTGTTTAATGCAAATAATAATAATAATAATAATAATAGTAATACCTTTACATATTTCGTTTTCAATCAATTGCTTAAACCAGTTCACTGCGTGCTGCAGATATATAACTTTAGCATTCTCAGCTTTTAAACCACCCTTTTATTCCAGTAAAGAGGTCTATGCAGTCTTTCATGTTACCTTAGAAAGATGCTGTCTAGGTTTCCTCATTGGGTCCCTGGTGTTTGTGTTTCATCAGTGGCGAGGCCTGTGAGATGTGTGAGTCAGAGCTGTTATTAGCTGAACTCAGAGCTAGCTTTTCCTCACCCTCGCTACTCCCCCAGCACCAGATCCAGCGAGACACACAAACCACACTATATCTTACCCATCCATCTCCATCATCCATTCTCCCTCTCTCCTCTTATAAAAAATCATTGCAACATGCCATCAGAGTATTTTAAACCAATAGTGTTCCAGCTTTTAAAAACCAGCCCCGACAAGCTTGTAGCATCACTTAAAAAGCTTAAACTCGCCCTTGCCCTCTCGCTCGATTTTGCTCTCTCTCTCACTGTTGCTTGTGTTCTCTCTCACAAGGCCTGTCCTCAGACAGAGTGTTAACCTCAGCTTTGTAAGCCTTGATTAGGGGACAGTAAATCCCCAGTCGTGGGTTTTCCTCCAGCATGCTGCTAATGACACGGAGTCTAACCTTTATATTGTTGTTAGTGCTTTGAGTAGATTTGTAGCTGCTGCCCGCTGTCCTCCTATTTTAGCTTTATCGGAGAGCAGGAAAAGTTAAAGCAGGTGTTATTAGCACTGACCTTGGGAAATAAAGATTGAATCCTGGTGCTGTATGAGGCCGACCGGGCTTAAGAAATTGCTGTGTCACTATACAGCATTGCTCAATAGCTTGGGATCTGTGAGATCTAATGAAAACAAAATAATGGGTTGTGGTTGCCTAGGCTGCATTCATTTTGATAAAAGTACAGGAAAAACATTCATAGTTTCAAATACTAGGATATTTCAACTTTCTTTATCACTTTATTTTTATTTTTCAAAATTTTAAGTTAAATGATATAATAATAACAACAACAATAATATTATTATTATTATTATTATTATTATTATTAAAAACAATAATAATAACAATAACAACAATAATAAAAATAATGACAACAATAACAAAAAATATATAATGATACAGTATATTTAGCCTTTCCCTAATATCTAATACCATTTCCTGTTTTTTGGAATAATAATAATAATAATAATAATAATAAGAAGAAGAAGAAGAAGAAGAAGAATATGAATGTGAATATGGATACAGTAAATTTAGCCTTTCCCCATATTTGTATTGTCATAATTTTCCTGTATTTTAATGTAATAATAATAATAATAATATTAATAATAATAATAATGATGATGATGATGATAATGATGATGATGATGATGATAATGATGATGATAATAATAATAATAATAATAATAATAATGATAATGATAATATATTTAGTCTTTCCCCCATATTAAATACTACACTTTTCCTGTATTTTGAAATAATAATAATAATGATAATAATAATAATAATAATAATAATAATAAAAATAATAATAATAGTAATAATATAAATAATATTATATTAATATATTTAGCTTTCCCAGTGATGGGTTGCAGCTGGAAATTAATTCGCTGTGAAAAAAACATATGCTGGATAAGTTGGCGGTTCATTCCGCTGTGGCGATCCCTGATTAATAAAGTAATTAAGCCGAAAAGAAAAAAAAAATTAATAATACATTTAGCATTTTCCCCATATCTAATACTAATGCTATCTGTTTCTTGTATTGTTACTAATATGAATGTATATGTTTGTGTGTAGAACCATTAAAATCCTAAATTTAGGCTGCTTTTGGCCAATAATAAAAAAAAAAAATCTATTTAATTCCTTTAATACTAATGGGCATTCTTACTGGTCTTGGAGTATATCTTTTTATAAATTCCATATAATGCTTTTTTTTTTTTCGCGCGCGCATACTGTGTGTGTGTGTGTGTGTGTGTGTGTGTGTGTGTGTGTGTGTGTGTGTGTGTGTGTGTGTGTGTGTGTGTATGTGTGTATGTTTAAGAGTAGCTTTACCTTTTGAATTAAATTTCCTTAAATGATGATGGTTATATATAATGATTGTAATTGAAAAAATATGAGCCAAAGTCTGCACCTGGGTTTCTTACTCCAAATGTCCTCGCAGCAACCCTCTCGAAGCCTGTTTGTTCACTCTAAGACCCATACAAAGCCTCTCATGTCTCTGATGAGTCAGAGCTTTGACCCTCTCAGACAGACCTTCTTGTGCCATGATCATTCCTATCGTGTGTATCAATAAAGCTAAAGCCATACACCAATCACAATACGGCGCCGTGACTGCGTCCGCATCCGCCTGATCCCCCTAAGACACTGCTGGCGCTTTGAAGTCCAGACTTGAAAGGACTACAGTGAGTGCAGGGAGATGGAGAGCAGTAAACAGTGATTATGTAGAGATTAATGAAGCTGAACTCATGCTGACGCCACTCAGCCTCAGTCAGCATCTCCTCAGTGCACCTGTCCACCTGAACACACCTGCAGAACGCACAGCACAAAAGCAGACTAAAGATGCTGGAGCACAGGATAATTCACAAAACACACACATTTGACTAATTAGAAGAGGTGATTAAATGCATTAAGCAAATCCAAAATGGTTATTCGTTTGTTAGATAATGATGCATAAACACTTTTTTAATTAATAGTTGATTTGTATTATTTTATTTTCATTATTTTAATGAAATATTATTTTAATCATAACTTTAATATACTTTATTATGATATTATAAAGACCTTCCTTATGTGGTTATTTTGTTTTGAAAGATTAATTTGTTTGATTTTTTTTTTTTTTTTTTTACTTTTGAAAGGTTTGTTTTACTTATTTTAAAATGTATTTATTTATTTATTTATTTATTTATTTGATTATTTATTTATTTAATTATTTATTTTATTTTGTACCCAGTGAATCATCATTTTAATCATAAACTTGTAATACTTTATTTAATATTTTATGATTAAAACCTTCCTTATTTGCCTATGCTGTTATTGAGAGATTAAGTTGTTTGAATTTTTAACTTTTGAGATGTGTGATTTATTTATTTATTTATTTATTTATTTATTTATTTATTTATTTGTTTGTTTGTTTGTTTGTTTGTTTGTTTGTTTGTTTGTTGTATTTTGTACCCAAGGAATAATGGATGCCCATTATTTTAATCATAGCATTATAGTACTTTGTTTAATAATTTATTAGTAAAACCTTCCTGATTTGCCTATTTTGTTATTGAGGAATTAAGTTGTTTGAATTTTTAACTTTTGAGATGTGTGATTTATTTATTGATTTAATTATTAATCTTATGTACTCAGTGACTCATTATTGTAATCATAACTTTATATTACTTTATGTAATTTTCATGAGTAAACCTTATTTGTATATTTTGTTTTGATTGATAAAGTTGTTTTCTTTTTTACTAAGCAGAAATAATCAAAAAAAATATTATTAAATAGACAAAACTTCATATATTTGTCTTACTAGAACTGTATTACCCATTTTCATTCATTCATTCATTCATTCATTCATTCATTCATTCATTCATTCGTTCATTCATTCATTCATTCATTCCTTCATTCATTCATTCAGGGCTTATTCCCTTTATTAATCTGTGGTTGCCACAGCAGAATGAACCACCAACTTATCCAGCATATGTTTTACACAGCGGATGCCCTCCCAGCTGCAACCCATCACTGGGAAACATCCATACACACTCATTCACACAAATACACTACAGACAGTTTAGCTTACCAAATTCACCCACAGGTGTACTGCATGTCTTTAAACTTGTGGGAGAAACCGGAGCACCCGGAGGAAACCCACGCGAACATGAGGGGAACATGCAAACTCCACACATAAATGCCAACTGACCCAGCCAAGGCTCGAACCAGCGACCTTCTTGCTGTGAGGCGATCGTATACCAATAATACAACAATAATACTAATCCAAACAATATTGATGGAAAACTTTTTTTTTTATCTCGTTTTGGTAGATTTGTTTTTCTCCAAATTAGTGAAACAGAATTTGCACAAATCGCTAATTCATGCATTAATAATTATTACTGGCAAATGTGATTTACACTTTTTAGATAGTAGTGTGACCACAAACTAAACCACTGTTTGTTTGTTTTTTTGTTTTTTCTGTTTACAGTCGCTGCCCAGACCCTGAAAGCCAGTCTAGACATAATGGAGCGGCATATTCAGAGGTTGGAGAACGACATCCAGAACTTCCCCAAGACTGATGACAAGCAGGATAAGTTTGTTGAAAAAATGTCGATATCCTTTTAGTCCATTTGCTGCTTATGCTGTCTCCCATGCTGGACTGTTTAGTGGTGCTCCCTTTGCCAAAAAGGTATGATTGGTACTCTGCTTTAAACAAAGATTGTACTATTATTCAGCCATTTTGTCTTGTTTTCCAGTTTAAAATATATTGAATGCTCACCAAGGATGCATAAATATTTTAACAATTATCACACTTGTTGCCAAAGTAGAATTGTGAACAGTCATTACAAGTCTTCAGTGAATGTTCTAAGAGTGTGATCTGGTGCTGAAGAGACATTTATTATTAATTTGTTATCATAATTGATTGGACATAATAATGGGGAAATTATTTATTATTTATTATTATTATTATTTAGACTTTAAATGTTGTTACTGTATAATTGAATTTCTGATTCAAACGTATAATAAGATGGTATTGGTATTGAATATTTGATATTCAATAATATTCAACTTACAACATTAAGAGAATAGAAGAAAATCTGCAAATGGAAGGAAAAAAAGAAAATTAAAGTGTGGTTTTTAACACACTCTGGTTTCTCGATTCTTAAAATGATTAATTAATTCTCCCTTTAAGGATCGTTAATAATTAAGTATGGAAAGCAAGACAAAAAGCCTGGATAGGTTTGGATAGGCTGTCTCAAAGTGCGATGTTTATCAGCGTTCTCTGTGTCTCTCAAGCTCTCCAAAGGGAGTTCAGCCTGGGAGCTATTTATACTGCACAACTTTCTCCCCACAGACCGTAATGGAGGGCTCCTTAGCCTTCTATACTTATAACCCCTTGCCGATTTCATCAGCTGACCAGCCACAGGCCCCTCTCTCCAAGTTTCTGAGGGCTATCAGCTCTCAAAGCACCTCTCTCATTTCGATAACAGAGACGCAAGCGCTCGCTGCCCTCAAATTGAATTAGATGCCACAGCACTTCTCAGACTCCACGGCGCGAAGAAGTCAGTCACTTGTTTGACTTTTTCCTTTCAGACACAGGAATGTTTATGGTGCGAATTGCGCTGATTTAAGGTCGTTTGACTTTTGCACTATTTCTGAGCGACGGCCCGACTTTTATATTCCCCCAGCGATTTCTGCCGTGTTATTAACTACGAGTAAGAACCATTAATCAATGACTTATCAAGTCTGAGAGTCTTCCCATATGTTCCCCAAGCACAGGAAAGACAGCAGTTAACCTTATTTTAGCTCTTTGTTCACCAGCTCAATGCTTAGATTTATGGGGGGCTTACGCGGCACTTTGGGTGGCATAAGAGTAATAGCCCCAGCACGCATTAAAAATCTGCTTCGAGTCAAAGAGGGCTGCTTAGGTTTGTATGATTTAAGAACAATGAGCTTCGCTAGGCTGCAGTGCGGCACCAAGAAAAACCACACACACACACACAAACGAGAATCCCTCTGTGGCCTTAGTGACAGTATTGATTAGCAGGACTCTGGTTGGATTGGATCTTGAGTGAGGGGAAATGGAGAGGCACGGATCCACTGGGGCCTCGCCGCGTCCCTGGAGGATTTTAAAAGCCAGCCGGACCCCGAGTGCAAACGCAAGCGCATCTCGTCCCTGTCTCACCTGATCTGTCATCAGTGCCCAGTTGAATACAGTCGCGTCCATTTGATGATTTGAGTGGGCTTTTTTAACAGCGCAGAAAGAAAAGCGAGCAGCTGAAAGGGAACGGCTCCACCCTCATTGTTCACCAGTCGCGACTCGTTTTCTGAGGCGTCGGAGCCCGGCTGCAGAGATGCTGACTGACAGCATGTTCAAACACAGCTGCGCTAGCTCTTTTGCGCATGACAGGGCAGACATTGTCACCGAGCTAAAAGAGGCCGAAAGCTGTTTCACTCGGCCATTGTGGACAGCAGGCTAGGTGTTATAGGGAGAGTGATTGAATTTTGTGCGTGCGTGTGTGTGTGTGTGTGTGTGTGTGTGTGTGTGGCATGTGTTTATATAAAAAAGCAGCAGTGCATATTGTCAATGTTCACTGTGATATTGATTAAATGTGTGTACTCATTTAAGGAGCTGAATATATACGTATATTAGTTTTAATTTCAAGTCTAAAATATGTGCAGATAAAACTAAGTTGTTTAGCATTTAAAGGACACCTATGATGAAAATCATCTTTTGGAAGCTATTTAGACAGAACTGTGTGCAGGTCTAGTGTGTAAACAGTCATATTAGGGTGATATTAAGACAATAAGTATCTTTTTTAAATTTCCTGATGTTTAAATAGGATCCAACTCCCTTCCATTTTGAGTCCCACCGCTATGTGACGTAGGAGGGTGGATTTTCCCGCCCACCGAATTGATTGAGCCGCGTATTAACATGTCTCAGTAGTAACACATATAATCATATCAACAAGACAGGACAAGCGCAAAGCAGCCGGGATTTAAAGATCTGTTAAGCTTTCTGTGATCATCAATCATTAAATGTGATCAAGAGTGAGTTTTACAGGTCTAAAAGGTTATTAAAACAGTGTATGTTTGTAATATATCACAGCAATTTTACTATCTTTATCACCACAGCCACATGCCAGTACAATTACGCGAGTGCTGTGTGTGTATGTGTGGGAACTTTGTAATGACATTGTGACTCATCATTGGAGAAAGGCTTAAATAACCTCAAAAACAAATACATCAAATAATCATTGGCAAAGTTCTTAGTATTTCTCACAAACTTTACGTGCAGTCTGCTTATTTCATGTCTGTCACTGTGCTATTTATCTGACGGAGCCGATGCGGAGATTGAGGCACATTCTGACATGCACATGGGAATGGTGAGCGAGGAGGCAACAAAAACAGCTACAATGAGTTCAGAGCAGAAAATCCCAACATTTTAAATTTAACATTATAATATATCATCTGATGGGGGTTTTACAGACACATTCTAGAGACACAAACGACTTATCTTAAATCTTGACAAAAGGGTGAAATAGGTGCCATTTAATATGCCAAACAGAATATTTAATAATATGTAAATGTTTAAAACTTTAGAGTTTAGCATGTAAATGTGAGGTTGTTAGTTAAAAGTCTGGGTTCCAACAGTCTCTGTTTCACAATCAGTGTCTGTGCAGTCTATAGCGGCCCCCTGTTGGATAGGTGGATATCACCCAGAGCTTCAGGTCCTCATTTGGCATGTGTTAAAAAAAACGATCAAACTTTTTTTGTTGTTATATTATGCAAATACAGCTCAAAAGAAAATGTAGTATGTGATTTTGTTTATTTTAAATGAGCAGAAATCCTGGTCCCCTCTAGGCCAGCATAGAGCAACAGTCACCTTTTCGCAACATGGACGTGCATGTGTGTGTGTGTGTTTGTGCACGCTAGATGCATTGCTTGCCAAAGCAACAAGCTTCTATGTCCTTGCTTTATGAGTTTGACCTGAACATGACCTTTTGACACATGACTACAAATGTGGAGACACAGCTTTTGAGTCACTGTGCAGGAATTGTTTCAATGTTTAAACCTGGCGGTGGTAGAGGAAATTTGTGTGAATGAGGAGAAAGACAGATGTTAGCTTGTTTACCGTGTTTTCGTTGCCTGTAGATACTCATCCGAATCACACTACTCCAGGTGGGCACTGTCAGAATCTTCCAATTTCTTCCTATTTTACGAACTGTAGCCTTGAGATCCATGTGATTTAATCTACCCTGAAATCACACTATTGTTTCTTTCTTTTTCTTTTTTCTACTCTCTCCTGCTCCAGGGAGACCCAGCACAATACGATTGTGGCGTTTCATATGCAGAACATTTGTTTCTTTTCAGTTTTCATGGCAGCTCAAACTGGAGATTTAGAGCCCTGCCAGCAAGATAGGAGGAGAGAATGAACTAGTATGTAGCAAATTTTATGTGATAAAAAGGCTTTAACTAGAGAGAGAGAGCTGTAGAGGAATTTTGCCTAGGTAGGAGTCAGCTTTTCTTTTCTCTTTTTTTGGGTGGATGTAATAATAGCAATACACATTTCACACCCTTCTGAAACTATGAAGGTGACATTTTGCAATATTAAAAAATCTCACCAAATATGGGAGTATCATATTAGATTCACATTAAGGTGCTTAAGACTCTGGAACAAATATGCATTTATTAGCTTACATGGCGATGCGCCGTTGATATATTGATCCATTAAGTAGAAATGATTGTGGCAGCAAATCAAGGCCGGTTTGAAAATGCTCCGAGCGTGCTTTTGCAACAGAGAAATAAACTCTAGATGTGTGTTAGGGTTAGTTTTTTAGAGCCGGATAACGGAATTTACTTTTATTACCGATTGCTCAATATCCCTTCTTGCAATATTAGCATGTACAGTATATGCGAGAGTTTGTTTGTCTGAAGTATTAGGTCAGATATGGGAGACTAGTTGCAGATGCATTATTTGGTATTTGGAAATAGACTCCCACTAACTCCTATACATTGTTTAAAGCATTATTGGAACAAAGCCGAAAATAAAATAAATGAATGAATGAAATAAACTCTTGATGTGCGTTAGGGTTAGTTTTTAGAGCTGGATACCGAAATTTACTTTTATTACCGATTGCTCAATATCCCTTCTTGAAATATAAACATGAACAATATACAGTATGCGAGGGTTTGTTTGCCTGAAATATTAGGCCAGATATGGAAGACCTGTTGCAGATGCATTATTTGGTATTTGGAAATAGGCTCCCACTAACTCGTACACACTGTTTAAATCATTATTGAAATAAACTCTTGATGTGCGTTAGGGTGAGTTTTTTAAAGCCGGATAACAGAATTTACTTTTATTACAGATTTCTTAATATCCCTTCTTGCAATATGAACATGTACAGTATATGCAAGGGTTTGTTTGCCTGAAGTATCAGGTCAGCTATAGGAGACTAGTTGCAGATGCATTACTTGGTATTTGGAAATAGACTGCCGTGACTTGTATTTGCATTGTTTAACTCAATATTGAAATAAACTCTTGATGTCTGTTAGGGTTAGTTTTTTAGAGCCGGATAACGGAAATTACTTTTGTTACCGATTGCTCA